TTGCCCTTGTTTAAGTGCTGAAAATGAATTTATGGCTTGCTTTTTATAAGATGTTGGTCAAAAACTGCCAGCGAGCTTGAAAAAATTGGGTGTTTTTTCCTTTCCAGGCATTTGGGCTCAGGCAGCGCTGGTGACAGCAGCACCAATCCAGACCCAACCGTGACATCTAGTGGGTAAGCGCCTGAATACTCTTCTCCTCTGGAGAGAAAAGGAAGAAAAAAAGAAGGTCATTTTTCCCTTCCCACCCATTCCTGCACTCTGGCAACTGCAGCCCCTCACATTTGACAGTGTCTCCCATGGGGAAGGACTCCAAAGCCAGAGCGTTACAGTTTGCAGGGACATCTCCCAGCTCCGGGGGGAAGAGGGACATCCCACAGTCAGCTACAGCCCTGCAATGAGCAAAAAAAATATCAAAACACACTCCCAGCTCTGTGCTGGGGTCACAGTAAGGAGACTCCAGCTCCATTTTTCAAGCAGCTTCCAGCTGCCCGAAGGCAAGTGGTCTTGTTTTCTGTGATGCTATCTGGCTGCAGACCTCTGTATTTATGCACAACCATTAGGGGCAATCTACAATATTCCTGACAAGCCCCAAAGCTTGAAAAGCTCAGGTTCTCATGATACCGAGCCGTATGTGCCTCTTCCTCCTATAACGGGATGAGACACCACCTTTGTATAAGAACAAGCATCGTAAAAAGGGAAACAAAGATTAAAAATTTAATTAGCTTTCAAAAGCAAGTTATGAAAAGTTTGTTGTTTTTTTTTTTTTATTTCTATTTCTCTTCACAAAAAGATTGCTATTAAACAATACAGGACTCCTGCCAAAAGTTTAAAAGAGCTCAGGCTCCTGAAGTCACCGAGCACCTGGAGCCAGTGTCTGTCCCAGCCAAGACTGGTTTGTCCTGGGCCTCTTTCTGCAGGTGCAGAGAGAACATTTTCTTTGTTTTCATTTATTCCTCAGATTCAGCGCAGTAAATAGTCCACTCATTATACCTGGGGGGTGTCTCAGGAGCACAGAGCTGGTACTTGAGGTGTTACCTTGTCCAGCCGTTCTGCTCTACACCTGGTAACGCGTCCCGGCTGCCACACGCAGTGCCCAGAGCTATTTTAACACACTGAAATAGTTTGGGTTGGCACGAGGAGATGCCCCACAAGCTGTGTGCAGATGACTCTGTTTGCTCCCTTGCTGGCAACTGAGCTCATCTCTACCACCAGGGCTGAAGAGGAGAAAGTGCTGATAAACCCGGCTGACAAAAGCGGAGTCCAATTATCATCAGCTTTTGTGTAAAAGAAGTTATGAGCTTTTATGGAGGCAGTAACCTCCAACACGCACGTCCCCGGGCATCCTTTTTGGAACAGTCGTGTCTCATCAGTCCGCAGAGCAGATGAGACCCTACAAAAGGCAAAGGGAGGGTGCTCTGGTCTCCCTTCCAGAGCTCAGAGGCGATGCCGGGGAACGGGCAGCTGGCACAGGACCAGAACCGAGGGAGGCCGAATCCCACAGCTCGCCTGGAGGAACTATTTCAAGCACGTTAAATTTTAACCACACATGGCAGCATCGCCGCGCTCCAGGGAGAGGTCATCGCAGAGAATCACAAGCTCCATCCCAAGTCAGTCCAAAATAAGAAACAGTTTTTCAAAACATCCCAGCTCCCTGCGAGCTGAGAGGCTGGAACCGAGCTCTTCCTCTGCCTCAGGGCAAAAAAAAAAATACACAGCTCTCTTCATCGCTGACCTTTAAATTGTCAGGAAACTAATACAAGCAATCCTCCCTGAGAAGCCACGGGGAAGGTGGAAGGCCAACAGGGCGTATGAATAAAGGTAAATCCAGAGGGGTAAGGGGATCAACATGAAGTGATGCTGTGCCTGGTCAAGGTGCTAATTAGGAGAGGAAGCACAGAGTAGATGAGATTCTAGCCATCATACGCCCCTGATGATGCTCTGATGCACCCCGTGTTCCTACCCTGGAGCTCAGCAGCCACCCTAAGAAAGAGGCAACACGGGACTGTCTAAGAATCACAGGGGGGCCATTTCTGAGGAATCGGGAGTTGTCAGTACTGGCACGTGCCGCAGAAAGCCATCTGAGATGCACAAACCCTTCCATACCCTGGCTCTGTCACCCAACCCCAGGACACACAGCAGACAGTCTCCTGCCTGAAGAAACCATTTGCTGTGGCAGGACCCTCTGCATCGCTCCCTCACCTTCATCCCACCTTGGAAGCTGACCTTGTGCAGCAGCCCTCAATCCAATGTTTTATTCACTTTTCTTCCTCTTTCCCCTCTGACACCACCAGCCCAGTATCAATGCCTTGTCTTGGAGGAGCCATTGGCTTCTAACCCAAGGAGTAAGTATTCTCCTGCAGTTCCTGCTACAAAGCTCCCTCCTGGCCAGCACTGACCTCCAGGAGAAGATGGAAAAGCCACATCTGTTCATTATAGCATCAGTGCTGATGTGCTTCACGTTGCTCTGGAGCCACACCAGCACCAGGAGTGGGTGTGAGAGAGGCAGCTGAGGAGGGGACTCATTTCATCTATTGTCTTTTCTTTGCACATCAGCTCCAAGATAACATCAAGGTGAGTAATTAGCAAAATCCAAAAATAGAGAGAGCGCTCCCAGAAGAGCACTAGTATCTCAGTCGGTGCTGAGCTGTGTATGGAGGGTGAAGCAGAGGAGCACACACTACACCTTCACATGGTTTCCCACCTTATCACACGGTTGGCTCCATGCCGAGTGCTGGTTTTACACTTTTATTGAGTGATCAAATACCAAGGAAAGGAACCAGCGCTGTCTCAGTGCCAACACACAGCCCTGGCATCAGAGCCATTGCACCCAGGCCCTAGGCCCACGGGCTGGAAACCTGCTGCCTCCAAAGAGTCTCCCACATAGAATCATAGAATGGTTAGAGTTGGAAGGGATCTCAAAGATCATCAAGGTGACCTGGGCAGGGACACCTCCCACCAGACCAGGTTGCTCCAAGCCCCATCCAACCTGGCCTTGAACCCCTTCAGGGATGGGGCAGCCACAGCTTCTCTGGGCAACCTGGGCCAAGGTCTCACCACCCTCACAACAAAGAAATTCTTTCTAGTATCTCATCTAAATCTCCCTTTTCTCTCCCCACATGAGCCAACTGAACCAGTTCCAGTAATACCTTAGCTTGCTGACCGTGACCAGGGGTGACACACCTCAAGCACAGCTCTCCCAGTTTCCCACATCCCGTTGGCCTCCTTAATTTCACCCACATCGTGTCATTATAGAACTGGCACTGCAAAGGGGACCCCCAAGCTTGGACTCCTCCCAGTCTGTCCACTCTCAAGCAGGGACCCCTTGGCTATTCCCCTTCTCCATCCTGCAGGAATCGGGGCCGGAGACGCTGCTGGTTGTGGGGGAGCAGCTGCCGGTGGGCACAGCTGCCGCCTCTCCTTAGGGGTGGGGAGAAAACAGATTCATCAATGAAACCGAATCCGATTCATCAGAAACTACAGCCATCTGTTGGATTATTAATAGACACAGAACTCATGCAAAGCAGCGGCATTAAATACTCCAGGAATATCTTTTTCTGGAGGAAAAGTTTAGGTTAGCAGCAACTGCAGCATCTGTGTGTGTGTGGGGGGGGTGATGGTGGTGCTTAGATCAGTTTATGAAATATTTTCCTTCTGCAAAACCAAATTAGTGGTTTCTTCCCATCTCCCTCCAATTCAGCATCTTAGCCTCAGAAGCCAAAGGCCTTATTTACTTTCTTTTTGTAATATTATCCTCACCCCAGGCTGCCTTTAGGTTCCTAAAGCATTCACTGACCTGCCCACTTATTGCTAAGGGCTTTTCCTACTGAAGGGAGCGCAGGTTAAAGTGGGGAATTGTCTCAATAACCTCCCAGCTCTTCTGCAAGGAGCACAGCCCAGCCTGGCCAGGTGTGCAGAGCGAAACCAGGGGTGGTTTTCATACAGCAGATGAGCAAGACACTCAGAGAAATCCAGCAGCGCTTAAACCAGCCCATTTGCATTTCTTGCACCACGAGACTGAAGGGGGGAGGGTCGGGGAAAGGAAAAAAAAAATTTTCCAGATTATTTTAAACCACCTCTATTATTTTTTAGATATTCATTTTAACTGCATGCTTAGCTTGCTCTTCCTCTAGTAATAAACAAGTTATTTCTGTTCTGTGCTCGATTGGAGAACAGGCAGCTAAAATAAACACTCCCTATTTATTCACATCAAACAGTTCTTCCAAGAGGATCTGAAATACAGCTGATGAGTGGCCTAGTTTTCCTTAACCTCCGGCTTCTTGTCCTTGAAGCATCACGGCTGGAGCCAGCCGGCAACCCTTGCTGGCTGTAATTTGCTCCCTGGGAAGCAGACCCAGGGATGCAGCAGGGAATGGGGTGGCCCAGGGAGCCATTCCACATTCCAGTCACTTTTCTCCTCCCCGAGTGACCCAGCAGTGTGAGCAAACAGACCTAACAGGGCTCTTGGGGAACACCAGGAGCCTGCAAAGAGGGCACCCCGCTCCCTCTGCACAGCTCCAGCACCGGGCTGGTCCTGCCAAACCCACCTCCTCATCCCAGGAGGGAAACTAGTCCAGGGTGGGCAGCTATAAAATTGGCCACCCACAGATGTCAGTCGAACTACACGGACCGCACCGAGGGTAAGGAAAGCTGGAGGAGATCCTGGAGACCAGCATAAAGCACCCAAAGAGTAAAGGCAAGAGGGCAGCAGCTCGAGAGCTCAACCTGCTGCGGGCAGAAAGCAAAGCCGGAGCCTGAAACCAGATCCAGGCTCCAGCAAAATGGACTATTTCCAAGTATTCGAAAAAGCTTCAAACAGCTGCGGGGAGGAAGAAAACTCTCACAACCCGTGACGAGGCAGAGCGAGACAGACCCGAAAACAAGGTCTCCTCCAAACAGAAGCAGCATTGAGTCTTCAACAAGGGCTGGAGGGCACGGGTGGTGCTGGCCAGGCGTGCTCCCCCCTCCCACTAAACCATGTTTGAGGAAAATTCTCCTTCAAGACATTCGGCGAGGCTCACCCACCCAGAAAACTCCCCAGAAACCAACACCACCACAAGTCCTGTTTCGGGGGACGAGGAAAAGACGGGCCCCATCCCAGTGGACACCAGCGACAGCTTTGGTTCCTGTGGTGGGGGACCAGAGACCCCCAGCTCCCCCCAGCATCACCCGGCCGAGCTGCAGCGGCTCATCTCCAGGCAGAAGGCGGAGTATGAATCCAAAATAGCAAGGTAAAGGATTTTTTTTAAAAAAAAAAAAAAACCAACAACTATTGAGGTTTCAAGGGAAGGCACCCCTTCCTCCTGCGTGCCTCTGGGAGCGGGGTCTGTGGATGCTGCTGCAGCCAGCACCTCCCCATCCCTCTGCCAATGTCACCCCTCGTTACAGGATTAGCTTCAATCCAAAATAGCAAGGTAAAGGATTTTTTTTTTTAAAAACCAACAACTATTGAGGTTTCGAGGGAAGGCACCCCTTCCTCCTGCGTGCATCTGGGAGCGGGGCCTGTGGATGCTGCTGCAGCCAGCGCCTCCCTATCCCTCTGCCACTGTCACCCCTCGTTACAGGATTAGCTTTGCAATTATTCAGCGTTACTTGAATTCATTTTCACGTGAGGCGCTTGAGAAACTCCAGAGCATCTATGAGATTTTATTTTTTTTTTTGCAGAGCTCTTGAAAAGCCTGTGGGCTGTTGTGTATTTCTCCTCTTTTGCCTTAATCCAGCATTAAGCATTTCTCTAGGGAAAAAGGCGCGGGTTTCTCAGCAGCGTTAGCAGTAAGTCATTATTCTTTACAAATTGCAAGTCATGAATTTTAACAGTGTTCCTAAGTATTTTCCCAATTTCTAAGATTAGAAACAGAATAGAGGTTTAGCCATAGCTTATTATCAAAGAAAAAAAAAAAAAGGCAGAAATGTTTCCAGGCTCTACTTTCCAAATAGTGTTGCTTTTCTATCATGTAATTAAAAGGAATGAACATTTTAAATACAATATTGTTCATTAGCTATAATTATAGGTATGTCATGCAAATGGACTATTTGATTAAATCATAAGATACCTCAACATGCATCATTGCAACAGATGGCAAGTGGGTAATGCTGAATTACACTTTGCCTTGAACACTGTGTAAAGAAAAATAAATCCACTTAATCTTTCATTTCTTGAAGAAGTATTCTATTTCTTCTTAGTAAAGAAGCTACTGCTAGGTTTTTTGGCTTTTTTTCTTAATCTTTTTGCTGTATTCTGCTTATGTTTTCCCTTGCAGTTCAAGGGAACTGCAATATAAGCAGAATTCTCAGTCTTTCCTAAAATATGTTGTATTACCATTTGCTGTAAGACTACTGTAGTATTCCAACACAAAAAAACCCAATCCCAAAACCGACTGCTTTGGCCATATGGTTATTTATATTTATTGTACATTAGGATAATTTAAAAAAAAAAATCACAGTTTTTAATATATAACACCATAAATTGGAAAAGTATTGGGGATGCCAATGCTTGTATTTATAGTTACTACTCGTATCTTTAAAAGGCTAGCTTTAAAAAAAAAAACAACAACAGAAGCCTATAGTTTTATTGAGAAAAGGGGGAAAACTGAAAGCTAACCCTGTGATTTCCAATGTCTGTCTTTCCCCCAGGCTGGAGCAGCGGAACAGAGCGCTGCAGGCGGAGGTTAAGGCCACGCGCTGGAAACTGGGGCAGCAGCGCAAGTGGCAGGGGCTGGTGGAGATGAAAATGAGAAACGCAGAGAGGGCGAGGGAAGATGCCGAGAGGAGAAACGAAATGCTCCAAAAAGAAATGGAAGAGTTTTTTGAAACCTTCGGGGAAATTAACAGGTGGAAGTAAAGAGGAGCTTGTGCAGTTTAAAATAACCGCAGGAGAGAGAAAGGCCGTATTCTGAGTCCAGCACCAACTCCCATTTCAGAGGTGAAATAAGAAACCCAACCACAAAAACTAGGCTGGCAGTTCAAAAACAAGCTGTTGATACAACCTTGTTGGGATCCCCGAACTCCAGGAGCTCTGCACCACCCTGCTAACACCAGGGATGCTCTCCCTTACCACCAGGAAAACCCTTTCAGACACACTTTGCACCACCAGCTCCCCAGGCAGCCCACGCAGCGCGCTGGGGAAGCCCCCTGGCATTTCTGGGCTTGCCTCGAGCCTGGTACCAAGGCACTAAATGCTTAAATGGCCAAGCGGCTTTAATTAAGGGATGTCATGCTGGTTGGAGTGCGTTTTACCAGCCACCCCAGAAGTCACACAGGTATTATATGGACTTTAATGAGTGCTAAACTCATCTGCGTCCCAGTGAGCTGCTTCAGAGAGAAATACAGAGACACAACGAGCCAACACGCAGCTCCCTACAGCTCCCACCAGCTCTCTCACACCACCCTGAGCTTGGGATCCAGAGCTTTAGTGCAATTCCTGTCCCCTCACTGAGGGATGGATATGCATTCACAGAGGAGGAAGACTCCTCTTACAAAGGCATTTGCTCCTCTGGATTATAATTACCCTTCCAACAGGACTCCTGTAAGAACACATTAGTCTTAAGATGGTCACCAGCAGACTCCCTCACTCGCATCTCCTCAGAGCTACCTCTCCCCACACGAGAGAGGTGCCACCTGCTTCGATACCAGCATTACACCCCTTACACTGTTAAATATCAAGAAAATAACTGCTGCTCTTCTATCTACTGCAGAAGAACTTTACCATGAACAATGGCATTGGTATACTTAAACCTGTACTGAATTTAAAATTCAATTTTAAATTAAAATTTAAAATTATATGAGAAAAACCACGTGGTTTATCATTTGCATTTCAGCAAGATTAAATGTCAGAGCGACCATGTACTTGATAACTCAGCCTCACTAAAGCAGCTTATGATGTGTAAGCAGAAACTGCACAGATGTTTTTCTTCTTCCCCAGAGAGGAGCGAGCAGCTCGTTTTAAGATGAAGTATGAGTGAATCAAAGAAACCAGAGTCTTATCCCCAGGGTTGGTGCAATGGAGCAGCCCTGCCCTGCCCCATGCCCAGGGCAATGCCCCAGGCCCCTTCTTCCCCAAGCGAGCACTGGCCAAACCCTTCTGTCCATCTCCTGCTCCCCACCAGCCTTTAAGTTCTTCTTGTTTCTTTTTTCCACTCCTTCCCCATTTCTGAGACCTCATTACTATGAAAAAAAAAATCTCACTTATGAAGTTTCACTTTCCTCAAAATTGGGTCTTGTTTAATCAGTTCCCTCCCTCCTTACCTTTCCAGAACTGCCCTGCCAGCTCAAGAAATAGCAGGAAATAAAAAGATACAGCAAAAGGCAAGAAATTTACTCAGGTAATGCTTTATAAAGCACCTCCCTGCACACGCATCATTGTCCTGCTTAATTTCTTTTTTTTGTTCTCTACTTAATGAATTAGACCTTCCTCTGTAGCTGAAGAAGCCACCTGAAAAATATCTTATCACCAGATACAAGGGAGCACTGGGATTTACTGGGCATCTCTGCTTTATCCAGATACTCTGTGGAAATGTCCTGTAGAGAAGAGATAAAACTTCAAGCTCTCCACTCAAGAAACAGCATCATTGCTGTAAAAATTCTCTCAGACTGCCCTAGGTCAAGCTTTTACAACGCCAGAGTCTGGCTGAGAGCCCCAGCCCTCTATCTAGAAAGGCAGCAACGTTAACCCTTCATCTCATATTAGAAAACCTTCAGGAAAAGAAATTAGATCAAAGTAGCAGTCAAATTTCACTTCACCTCCCCCAGAGTTAGAGCAGACAGATTTGCAAAGCGCCTGGAAACCTCATCACTGTCTTTGCAAGAACACTTACCTCTTCCTCAAAATAAGTACAATGGAACTATTTTCTCATGTTAGCTGCACCCCTGCCTTGTTTGGTGAGAACAAAATGAAACACGACATTGTTTGAGCACAAGGTGAAGAGAAAAACTCTTCCAAAGTCCTTTTACATATGTTACACATACACAGACGTACACAGCCAGCAGCTTATCTGAGAGCCTGACAATCTGGTGATGCTGCTGCTCTAGCACATGGATGGGAACACAGATCTGTCAGTATCACCAGGAAAGCTTCTGCAATTTAAAACCCCCAAATTTTAAAATACATTTGGTAGTGAAACCAAGTGCTGTCAATGTGTCCAAACGTTCTGGCTGATCAGGAGAGAGCAGCTCCAGCCAGTCTTTTGAAAGCTGTTCTTCGTTCATTTTTCGTACCAATACTTACTTTTTGGTTAAGTGGAAGCTAAAGTGGTAACTGAAACTGTACATTTTAAGATCACTAAGAGCATACATCACTTAGGTTACATAAAACATTCCACTTCAACACAGGAAGAATCAAGAAAAAGAAAACGTTGCAACAGCAAATAAGACAGACTGCTCAAATCTTTTACGTATACATATTTATTTGTAATTTTACAGTGGCTTTAGTATTGTTTTACAATAAGGTTTTTGGAGGAAAAAAAAAATCAATCAAAAAGCTTCAGAACGAGGCTTTAACTAGCACATCAGAACTAGTTATTGACAGTTTTTCTTACGAAATTCTAGTTTCCTTAAAGAAAAATCAATCAAAAAAAAAAACCAAGGAAGCTTGACTGCTGTCCATAAAAAAAACCCTAAAAACTTTCTAGTCATCCTGAAAACAAAGTCCAGCATCAGACAAAAGAGCCACTGCATTGAAAGGAACATGTTCCTATTGCACAAGCATCGAGGATGAGATATGACAATCAAAGCCTAATTTCATAGGCATAAGAGGCCACATGTATCTATATAATTAGACTTCAAAGCACATCTTTCTTCTGAAATTACATACCCTACTATAACTAATATTAAGGCCATAAAATCAGAACACTGTAACAAGTGATAGGGCTTGATGCTACTTTTTGTGACATCTGGAAAACAGAAGGTGGGAAAGAGGGCCAGAACAAGAGACACAAAGCATTCTGAAGGGAGTTACAACTTGAAGGCATTTCCAAAGAAATTCTCAAAGAGATAACTTTCGGAGGGGGTTTATTTTGAGTCATTAGATAAAACTGGATTTTATAACAAATCTCTCAAGGAGCCTACTATACTCTTCATAGCATGTGTTCTGGAGTACACTATAGAATATATCCTCTGGAATTAACATTTGAATTTGTACGAAAACAGTTAATCATTTCCATTTGTTATTCCCTCTAAAATAGATGAAAATTTGTATAATCTTTATAAATTATCTTAATGACCAGGTAAGGCTTCACTGTACTGAGTTAACTGCACACAGGCATCTCTGATTCACTCTTAATGAGGTACCTTGATTACACTAAACTGCTAAAACCATCAGGGGAACCCAACATGTCATGTAATTTAAAGAAAGGAATAGTTACATATTGCTATTTTTTTCTAATTGTGTTCATTTTGTTAGTGTATAACATACCTGAAAGCAATAGCCCCAGAGAAGCAGTAACTACCATGGAAGTTTAAACATTTTACTTTAGGAAAATCTGGGAATCTAATGAAGCTGAAAATGCACATTAGTCATTTTATAAAGTTTGACTTGCCAACATTTAAGAAAAATATAGGTATCAAAAACAGACAAATACACTGCCTACCATCTGTTACATTTTCTTTTAAAAAATTAGCACCAATTTAAGCATCTGAATTCATAGAAAAGCTAGTGACACACTTGGTTTTTCAAAAAAGTTTTTCCCCATTAGAACACAATACAACAGCATACGCTAACGGGTATTACATTAGCTTTGCTATCG